CTTCTTCATGTCTCTTCTACATCAACATGTGTCCCCTCTTCTTCATGTCTCTTCACATCAACAGTGTCCCTCTCTTCTATTGTCTCTCACATCAACATGTGTCCCCTCTTCTTCATGTCTCTTCTACATCAACATGTGTCCCCTCTTCTTCATGTCTCTTCTACATCAACATGTGTTCCCCTCTTCTTCATGTGTCCCCTCTTCTTCATGTCTCTTCTACATCAACCTGTGTCCCCTCTTCTTCATAGTCTCTTCTACATCAATCATGTGTCCCCTCTTCTTCATGTCTCTTCTGACATCAACATATGTCCCCTCTTCTTCATGTCTCTTCTACATCAACATGTGTCCCCCCTCTTCTTCCATGTCTCTTATACATCAACATGTGTCCCCTCTTCCTTCAGTCTGCTTCTCACATCAACATGTGTCCCATCTTCTTCATGTCTTCTTCTACATCAACATGTTGTCCCCTCTTCTTTCATGTCTCTTCTACATCAACACTGTTGTCCCCTCTTCTTCATGTCATCTTCTAACATCAACATGTGTCCCCTCTTCTTCATGTCTCTCTCATCAACATGTGTCCCCTCTTTCTCCATGTTCTTTCTTCATCAACATTTGTGGTCCCCTATTCTTCTCATTGTCTCTTCTACATCAACATGTGTCCCCTTCTTCTTCATGTCTCTTCTACATCAACATGTGTCCTCTCTTCTTCATGTCTCTTTCTACATCAACATGTGTTCTCTGGTCCCCTCTTCTTCAGTGTCTCTTCTACCATCAACATGTGTCCCCTCTGTGGAAAGAGACTCTGAAAGTTTCAGGAACAAAGATTCTCTCTCTTTTTGATCCATTTCTATAAAAACCTGTCTGAAAATGAGCTGATCAGATTTTGGCCACTTTATGATGTCATAACGATGTTTTGTCTTGTGTAACCATTAGCCAATCAGCAACCAAGGTAACCCCCCCCCCCCCCCCCCTTATCACCTGAATCTCCTCTAGAGCACCATTGAGTTCTTTCTAACCAAATCTCCTCTCATGCGGCTTTCACACCAGCGCTTTTCCCTTTCTAGCTCCGAGCGGGAGCTTTTCTGGTTCAGCTCCGGTTTCCCTTTTCTGCTCCCGCTCTGTTCACACCGCCCAGAGCTGCCGCTGCTGCGTCATGACGTCACCGTTTACGTGCCTGCTTCATGAAATCCAAACCTTGCGGAAATCCCTCACATCGACAACAACAACAATGGCCAATTGTATTGAAGCGCTGTTCGCTTTGGTTATCCTCTTACGAAACGAAATGGAAGGCATCGGACGACTTTACAAGGGACGACTTTACTTGGAACTTTACAAACATCACATGCGAAATGCAAGACTTCTTTGTGGTCTTCAGCATCTACGACGAATCTGCCCCCGCCTCGACGTACGAGAGACGTAAGCGACGCCGCCTCTTAGCTCCGAAGCTCTTGCCTCTAGACCGACAATTTTTTGGAGCTGGAAGTGAACCGGATTCCGGAGCTAAGAGGCGGCGCCTCTGCGGTGTGAACAGGAAAAAACGGTACTTTTCAGGCTCCAGCTCCGAGCCGGAGCTGAAAACGCGTTGGTGTGAAATGTCTCTCAGAGGGGCGTGGGGAGGGGCTCCTTATTTTCATCTAAGTAACAGACAGAGAATCAGCACTTTGGAAACAGGGCTGAAACAGAGGGGATTATGGGTAATGCTGCAATGATCTGTTTGGTGTTTCAGCCAATCAGAGACAGGCTCTGGATATATCTGAGACCTGTGATATATTGATGAAAAACAGGATAATAGGGACCTTTAAACTGGGGTTTGAGGTTCTACTGGTTGGTCTCTCTGCAGGTACATTCTGGTCACGGTGGGTCCGGTGTTCACGGAGGAGATGTGGAGGTTAGCCTGCTGCGCTCTGCAGGACGCCTTCTCTGCTACACTGGAGCCTGTCAAGGTATACACACACACACACACACACACACACACACACACACACACACACACACATAAACACACAATGAACACTCACACACACACACACACACACATACATACACACACACACACACACACATAAACACACAATGAACACTCACACACACACACTCACACACACACACACACACACACACCACACACATACATACACACACATACATACACACACACACACAATGAACACACACACCACACACACACACACACTCACACACACACACACACAATGAACACACACACACACACACACACACTCACATAAACACACAATGAACACTCGTGTGTGTGTGTGTGTGTGTGTGTGTGTGTGTGTGTGTGTGTTTGTGTGTGTGTGAACTCAGTAGAAGTGACATCTCCAGGCTCTTTAACGCTGGATGGTGTGTGTCACTGTGGCAGCTGACTGACCGCAGATAAGCAGCTTTATAGCTTAGAGCACGGTGTGTGTGTGTGTGTGTTTGTGTGTGTGGCGTGTGTGTGTGTGTGTGTGTGTGTGTGTGTGTGTGTGTGTGTGTGTGTGTGTGTGTGTGTGTGGTGTGTGTGTGTGTGGTGTGTGTGTGTGTGTGTGTGTGTGTGTGTGTGTGTGTGTGTGTGTGTGTGTGTTGTGTGTGTGTGTGTGTGGTGTGTGTGTGTGTGTGTGTGTGCACTGCTCTTGCACTGCTATGGCTAGCTCTCCCAACACATTGTACGTGATAGGCTAAGGGGCGGGACATCTATAAGCGGTTGATCAATCACAACAGAGCCGGCCAGCTAACCAATCAGAGCAGACAAGGCTCTGGTTTCAGACGTAGGGTGAAAAGAGGTGCTGCAGCACAGGCTGTATGAGAAAAATAAAGACACACCATACTGCCCCGTTACCTCTCCGCTGTTTTCTTGTTGCTCTTCAACAGTCAGTTCGAAAAGCAGTTAAATCGAAAAAACTTCTTTGTGCAGATCGAGCGTCCTTAACAACGGTCAATAAGTCCTTGACAGCGGTCTGTCTGTTCTGGATTAACAACGTGTCACGTGTTCTGAATTGACCAATCAGTATCGAGTATTCAACTAAGCCATGTAATAAATACTGATATACACCTGAACATCGCAGGAGAGAACTCTTTAAGTAGAGACACTACATACTGATATACACCTGAAACTCAGCAAGAGAGGACTCTTTAAAGTAGAGACTCTACATACTGATATACACCTGAACATCAGCAGGAGAGGAACTCTTTAAAGTAGAGAGACATACATCATGATATAGCACCTGAACATCAGCAAGGAGAGGACTCTTTAAAGTAGAGACTCTACATACTGATATACACCTGAACATCAGCAGGAGAGGACTCTTTAAAGTAGAGACACTACATACTGATATACACCTGAACATCAGCAGGAGAGGACTCTTTAAAGTAGAGACACTACATACTGATATACACCTGAACATCAGCAGGAGAGGACTCTTTTAAAGTAGAGACACTACATACTGACTATTACACCTGAACATCAGCAGGAGAGGACTCTTTAAAGTAGAGACACTACATACTGATATACACCTGAACATCAGCAGGAGAGGGACTCTTTAAAGTAGATGACACTACATACTGATATACACCCTGAACATCAGCAGGAGAGGACTCTGTTTAAAGTAGAGGGACACTACATACTGATACACACCTGAAACATCAGCAAGGAGAGGACTCTTTAAAGTAGAGACACTACACCACTGATATACACTTGAACATCAGCAGGAGAGGACTCTTTAAAGTAGAGACACTACATACTGATTACACCACCCCTTGAACATCAGCAGGACGGAGAGGAATCTGTAAAGTAGAGACACAACATACTGATATACACCTGAACATCAGCAGGAGAGGACTCTTTAAAGTAGAGACACTACACACTGATATACACCTGAACATCAGCAGGAGAGGACTCTTTAAAGTAGAGACACTACACACTGATATGAACCTGAACATCAGCAGGTGAGGACTCTTTAAAGTAGAGACACTACATACTTATATACACCTGAACATCAGCAGGAGAGGACTCTTTAAAGTAGAGACACTACATACTGATATACACCTGAACATCAGCAGGAGAGGACTCTTAAAGTAGAGACACTACATACTGATATACACCTGAACATCAGCAGGAGAGGACTCTTTAAAGTAGAGACACTACATACTGATATACACCTGAACATCAGCAGGAGAGGACTCTTTAAAGTAGAGACACTACACACTGATATACACCTGAACATCAGCAGGAGAGGACTCTTAAAGTAGAGACACTACACACTGATATGAACCTGAACATCAGCAGGTGAGGACTCTTTAAAGTAGAGACACTACATACTTGATATACACCTGAACATCAGCAGGAGAGGACTCTTTAAAGTAGAGACACTACATTACTGATATGACGACCTGACACGATCAGCAGGAGAGGACCTCTTTAAAGGTAGAGACACTACATACTGATTATACACCTTGAACACTCAGCAGGAGAGGACTCTTTAAAGTAGAGAGACACTACATACTTGATATACACCCGGAACATCAGCAGGAGACGGACTCTCTTAAGTTAGAGACTCTTACAAACTGATATACACCTGAACCATCAGCAGGAGGAGGACTCTTTAAAAGTTAGAGACCACTACAAACTGATATACACCTTAACATCCGCACGGAGAGGAGGTTCTTTAAGAGTAGAGGACACTAGCATACTGGATATTACACTCGAACATTCAGCAGGAGAGGACTCTTTAAGTAAGCGTACACTATCATACTGGATGATACACCTGGAACATCAGCAGGAGAGGACTCTTTAAGTAGAGGACCAACTACATACTGATAGTTACACCTCCTGAACCATTCAGCGCAGTAAGTTAAGAGGACTCTTTAAGTAGAGACTCTACATAACTTGATATACACCTGACATCAGAGGGAGAGGACTCTTTTAAGTAGAGACACTACATACTGATATACACCTGAGCAACTGCTTCAAAGGTTATAAACAAACAAAGCATCAGGACTCTGTAGGGCTTACAGCTGTCGACATATAGCTTAACATGCTCTCAGCCACAACACGTAGTCACTGTTTATGTTACAAGATTGTGACTGTTGCATGTTGGGCTTTTGTTTTAGAACATATTTATTTATTTAGGACTTATGGGAGGTTATATAAGAGGCTCCTTTTATCCACTGCAATGACATATTGAACTGTGACTTTGAGGACGTATTAAAGGCAGCTTTTACACACTTCAAATGTTTGTAGATATCAATACTTTTTATTAGTCAGAATTTTGAAAAGAGAATCTGAAATGTCCGAATTTGAAGAAAGTCAGAATTTATACAAATAGTTAGATTTAGCAATAAAAGCTATAATTCAGGGAAAAAGTCAGAATTTGATTTGAAAAGGTCAGATTTCAGATGAAATCACTTTTGATCAGAATAGGGTCACAACATGTGGCCCTAATCGTCTTTTGTCCCTCAATTTTTATAATTTCTTGCTGCTCAACAACTTGATAACTTATTTTAGATTGATTTTGAAAACCTCTACAGTCACTTTGATAATCCACTGCACTGTGTGTCCACTTGTAAATTCAGAGAGAACATTCATTGTTTCGGTTTCATTTGTAAGACTTCAATCAGATATATTGCAGTTATGGAATTAAAAGAACTGAACTTCCATGTTCGTTCCTACCCTCACCTATGGTCATGAAGGATGGGTCATGACCGAAAAGAACGAGATCGCGGATACAATCGGCCGAGATGGGTTTTCTCCGCAGGGTGGCTGGTGTCTCCCTTAGGGATAAGGTGAGAAGTTCGGTCATCAGGGAGGGACTCGGAGTTGAACCGCTCCTCCTCCGCGTCGAAAGGAGCCAGTTGAGGTGGTTCGGGCACCTAGTTAGGGATGCCACCTGGGCGCCCTCCCTAGGGAGGTGTTCCAGGCACCTCCAGCTGGGAAGAGACCAAGGGGATAGACCTAGGACCAGGTGGAGAGATTATATCTCTTCGCTGGCCTGGGAGCGCCTTGGATCCCCCAGTCAGAGCTGGTTGATGAGGGGGAAAGGAACTATGGGGCTCTCTGCTCGGAACTGATACCCCCGCGGACCCGACCACGGATACGCGGGAGAAGATGGATGGATGGATGGAACTTCCATAGTTGCATGATTTAATAACAAATAAATAAAAAAGGGGATTTGGACGAACATTAAAAGTCGCCTGGGGAAATATTGACTAGATTACCATGAAATAGTCATCCAATACATTGTGTAGGACACTGGCAGCCCTTTGCATAAAGCTTATCCTTAACATATGTAGCTTATGCTTCAGAAACATCAACACTGACCTCTGACAGGCTTTATGGAGCCGCTGAATTATTCATAAGCGCTGCATTTAGGTCACATCGCATACATTGTACATACTGTGTTTTAATACTTGGAGTTCATCAGATCGACTCTTTTTCATTTGATTTTCACTCACGTGAAGAATTTGCATGAACTCACCATCTTACATAATTGTATCGGAGATTATAAAATATAAAAAAGCCTTTGAAAATCAAGAGGTTTTAAAAGGCTTTTTGCACAAAAGCTACAGCATTGTTTTGCCAATGGAAATGAAAGTCCGAGGCTCATGAAACCATGAAGACAAATCATAAAACATATCAAAGCATTATGAATACAGTCGTCCATATGTGTATTTTGTTTGTAGTGGCAACCAAACGTTCCAATAAGTCACTACAGAGCAGGGTCGATGACACGTGACGCTAAATCATCAACAAAAAAACGAACTTATTAACAAAAAAATCCAAAGACTTAAAAAACTCTAAATTAAACGTATTTATTTAAAAATAACAAAACCTAACCTCAATCCCCTCACTTACATAAAGTCCCTACATACTGTACAGTTGCAGAGATGACCAAAGGGGTGTTCATAACCATTTATGAAACACAGGCTGATAATATAAACCATG